TGTTTACTTCTAGACCAACCTCTTTACTTGCGTCAATTACAGTTTGTGTGTTTTTCTTTATGATATCTATATTAACACCCAGCAGATTCACATCAGCATAGGCCAAAAGCTGATGTGTCCCATTTAATTTCAGTCCCACCTGGTTTTCTTGAACCTTCCTAATGGCATATTCTAAAGCGAAGTTGAAAATTAGTGGTGATAAAGTATCAGTTTTAGACTATTCTGGATAGGAAAATTATCAGACAAATGTTTACCTACATGGACTTTACCACACGTTTTTTTAAACATATTTAAATCAGCCTGACTAGTTTCATGGGTATCCCAAACTCTATCAGAATAATGCACAATACTTCCCTCCTACCTGAATAATAGGCTTTCTTGAAGTCTATGAATAGCTGATGTACTGTCTCATCGTACTCCCATTTTTTCTCCAATATCTGACGAATGCAAAAGATCTGATCTGTAGTTGATCTGTTACGTTGAAACCCACACTGATGACCCCCAATGATTTCACCTATATATGGACTTAACCTCGAAAGAAGAATATTGGACAAAATTTTATATGAAGTTGATAGCTGTGATATCCCCCGATAATTACTACAGTCAGTTTTATCACCCTTCTTGTGAAATGGTACAATAATAGACTCCTTCCACTAATCAGGCAATTTTTCCTTATGCCAAATAGAAGTAATTAGATTGTGGATCTTGGAACGTAATATTTTGCCTCCTGCTTGAATAAGTTCTGCTGGAATTTGATGACTACCTGGCGATTTATACTGTTTCAATTTTGCAATAGCACTTTCAACTTCAAAAGGACTAGGATCAGGTATTAACGGCTCAGCTGTATGGATTTCTGTCTGCTTAACATCACTGACCCTACATTCAATAACTGAGAGAAGTAGTTTCTCCACCTATTCAAAATGTTTTGGGGATCTGCAAGCAGATCACCATTCTCATCCTTCACTAAGTTCCTGCTAGGTTGGTAACCCCTCTTAAAGTCATTTATTCCTCTATACAGGTCTCTAATATTCTTGTTCTTACTGTTCATTGCAAGCTCTTCAACTTTGTCTTTCAGATATTCCTTCTTTTTGTTCCTGAAATGCCTGCTAGTTTCACGTCTTATATTGTTCAGCTTATCACCATTTAACTCGCTTGGATCCTGTAACCATTGCAATTTGGCATGCTTTCTTTGATCTAATAATTTTGAGCGTCATTCATCGAACCATGGCTTATGCTTCTTCGGGTCATAATAACCTAGACTCTTTTTGGCAGACATTTTTATATTCTCTCTAATAGTTTCCCAAGTTTTATTAACATCCACCTCAGTGTCCAAGTTTTCCAAAGCCGCAAATCTATTTGAGATTTCAACACGATAATGCTCTTTACCCTCTACCTCATTTAATTTCTTGAGATTGAACCTCTCCATATGAACTCTGTGTGTTGTTTGTTTGCTCACTGCCAGTCTTTCCCTAACCTTTGCCACCACCAGGTAGTGGTCAGTATCACTATCTGCTGCCCTGAATGATCGGACATCAAGTATATTTGAGTGCCATCTCCTATCTATCAAAATATGGTCTATTTGATTGTGTATCTTCCCATCAGGAGATGTCCAAGTAAATTTATGAATGTTACGATGTGGGAACATTGTATGTTTGACAGTAAGATTTTTTGATGTGGCAAAGTTTACTACTCTAACTCCATTATCATTACTAATTTCATGCAAACTCTCATTCCCAATTGTTGGTTTGAACATGTCTTCCCTCCCTACTTTGGCATTGAAATCTCCTAACAAAATTTTCATAGGGTACTTCGGGAATTTATCAAATACATGTTCTAGTTCTTCATAGAATCTATCCTTTATGTCATCAATTTTATCTTCTGTTGGGGCATGAACATTCATAACAATGAATTCACACCAGTGACCATTTAGTATTATATATGATATCCTATCACTAATGAACTCTACGCTCTTAACTGCTGATACGATTCTCTTATGTACGAAAAAAACTGTACCTAATTCATGATTTCCATTCCCCTTTCCATAGAAAAACGTATATTTGCCTGCTGATGCAATGTCCCCTCTGTCCCATCTGACCTCCTTTACCACCGCTAAATCTAACTTATATTTTAAGATTGCTTCCACCACTGCCCTGAGCAAACATGCCCTATATATACTTTGAATGTTCCATGTACTATTTGATACACACATACATATATATATAGCCACAAAAAAAAAACTCTCTGATTTCAGTCTGCAAGCAAACCATACCGACCGAGCGACTGACACTTGTCAGCAAAGTTTAGTGCCAACGTTTGCAGATAGAGGGCGTCGCGTTGCCAGCGCAACAAATCCCCAAGGCCGTTAATTTCGGTTTTCTAAACCGGAGCCGCTATTTCCTTGAAATAGCTCCTCAGTTATCATCACGAGGCTGAGTGGACCTCGTTCCAGACCCACAACTTCTCCAAAAAAAAAAAAAAAACTGGTAAAAATCAGTACAGAACACTATCTTGATCAGTGTAATGTTCTCTCTCCTGGATAAGAGATTTTGCTGGAATACTGATCCAAACTTCATGTATTTAGTTCATATATTTTACAAAGAAAGGTCTAATTCCTATGCATATGTGCCAAATTGTCTGGAAGCTACAAATACAAGTAGCCTTACATAATTCCAACTTTCTGGGCAGTTTATATTCTGGTAAACAGATTTCCAAATACATAATGTCCCTTTGTATGTTACATGTTTGGAGTGGAAATCTTTCATTACCTTCACAAGGTTAGTCACAGCCCTGCTAACGGCCATAACAGGACGTTCCAGATCAGGCATTGCATTGCCATCTTCAGCTTCTTCATGCAGGATCACCAAGCGTGACACCTGCAAATTGAAATCACTTTAGTCTCACTGCAGCAAGCCAAATGAAGAAATATTAAATAAAGGAAGTTTTACAAAACATTATGCAGCATACATAACACAATCCATGTCACAGAATTTACATCCATAATACTGCAGGATGTCTATAATAACTTCAATAAGAAGTAAGACTGCAGTTATGCTCCCCAGGTGTACCTGAACATACATAAATGGCAACACAAAATAAATAAAACAAATGCTGATAAATTAGCTAGCTAACTGCCTAACCTTTTCACTATGTAATATACATAAGGTCTTTCCACACACATTTATAACTGATCAGCTGCTAATAGAATAATTCTCTACTCTCACAGAATCCAAAGAAATTACTAGCACAAAGAAGAAACTGGCACTACATACATACTGTTGATCATTGGTAAAATTCAAGTAAAAGTGACCTCACTTATGACAAAAATGTCTTACTGACAGGTATATGCATGTTATCAGAATTAGTGAACACAGAATATGAGTATGAACTCTGTTTAAACTTTCAATCTATGTGCTCCACTTTTCATTTTTGTGAGTTATGAGACCATGTGTATTGACAGAGCCTTGACTAGACTAGACTAGACAGTATCAGCTGATAGGATGATAGATGAATTGGAAAGGATCTGGAAACAAGCAGTTGTGGCATAATCAAGATACTATTCTGGGATTTCCCTGCAGGTATTGATGAATACCACAAAATATATCAGCAGGTCTAGCTGTTGTCTGTGGCTAGATTCCAACCAAGCACCTCCTGAATATGAGTCTGCAGTGCTACTGATCTGCCAACCCAGTTGCTTTGTATGTCCTCTGTAACCGTACGTCCCTCGTCAAAATTATATAATTAAGGGTATGAACTACTTATGCATTGTTTAATAAAGTGAGAGACGCTCCATCGGCGAGATACCATCCCGGGACCGTCAAGTTGTAATTCCGCTATTGTCCTCCTTAGGCTAAGGGTGCCACTATTGTCCCTATCGCCACCTGTTTACTCTCAGTATATCATAAACCCATGAACTGACCGTGTGCAAGACCGGCCAGGAGGGGTCTTGGATTCCTTGAAGACCTACAGAGGTTTATGGGCATCTCGAAAAATACGAATGTAGGCCAGATGTCGGGCTCGACCCTTGGTTTTCCCTTGTTATTTTCTTGTTTTTCTGATGCCAACCGGGGGACTTGTAAAGAAGAGAGTCGGCTATAGGGAGCGCAGGAGGACAGTAGTTGGAATGTAGATAGAGAAGAGAGAAGTGTTTAAGAGTAGTGGTAGCTAGTCGGTGGACGGAGTGGCTAGCTTGGAGAATAATGTCAATATTCATCATAAATGAAATTTTAAATTAAAACTGCAATCCACAACGTTCTGGAGATCCCGGATTTATTTACCCCGAAGTGTGTTCCACTCCCATCTCCGAAGCACCCGTATCCTGTGATTAAGAACTCAAGCTCGAGCGAAAGTCATGGCAACTGTAAGTCGGCGGACGGCTACACCTCATTCTGTTACATCTAATGAACTCCCAGAACAGCCCCTTCCAGAAGTCACTGGTTATTCAGGTTTTCATAGAGTTAACTGGCAACACCACAAAGTTCACCTTCAGAATGTATCCATGTCACTTCAAACCAGGTAATATCCTTAAAACACACTTCCTTAATAGTAGTCTTAATATTTTTCTCTACCTTCATCTTCCAAATACTCTTGCCATTATGATTCTGAATTAAAATGTTGTTCATATCTCTTAATTCTGCCAGATGTCATAACTGAAGATTCAGAAGCTCATGAGCCCTCTTAGACAACACACATTATAAAACGATATAAACTGAACATAACTTTTTTTATTTATTAAGCAATCAGAATCTACAATTCTGTAAGCTAGTTTGCTGGCGTAAGAGCTGCGAAGCTCTTTAATGATGTGGTGAGTCCCTTCCCCAGTGGGAGGTTCCTCATTAGTTTTCTTTTAGGTCAGCTGGCCAGAGTCTTCGGAGTCTTCGATTGTGCTGCAGTTCAACGAGTGGCTGTAGGATGTCGTTTGGGTGATTTGCTAGTTTGTTGTGGTGTGAGGTACTTTTTTCTCTGGTGACATCCTTGATGTATGGTATATTTAGGTCTGTATGTAACGTTTGGTTGTTTACATACCAGGGTGCGTTTGTTATAATTCAAAGTGTTTTTGATTGGCTTCTCTGGATTATTGATATATCTGATTTGCTGGCACAACCCCAGAGCTCAATTCCATAAGCCCAGATTGGTTTGATTATTGTCTTATAAAGCAGGACTTTATTTTCTATGGATAGGTTGGATCTTCTTCCAATTAACCAGTTTAGCTCCTTGGCTTGTAAGTCTATCTGTTTGCATTCTTTGATTATGTGGTCTTTCCAAGTGAGTCTACTATCCATATGGATTCCGAGATATTTAACGCTTGGAGACTGTGGGATATTGTTATTATACAGTCTTACTTGTGGGCAATGCTCTCGCCTTAGCATGAAGTTCACTTGGACAGATTTGGTCTTGCTTATTTTAATTTTCCATTTGTGTAGCCATGCTTGTATTTGGTTTAAGTGGTTTTGTAGGATACTGGTGGCCTTTGCTGGATCTGCATGAGTTGCTAGGATGACTGTATCATTTGCAAAGGTTCCTGTGGTGGTGTTCTCATCGGTTGGTAGGTCCACCATATAGAGGAGGTATAACAGTGGTCCTACTATGCTGTATGGTCCTACTAGGAATATAACTTGGACATACATGTACATCAGATTATTAATATATATTCTATTTCTCAATTCTTACCAGATTTTAAGCTAATTTTTAAAGGAAAAAACATAATGGGATGTGCCTCTTCTTATGTGAACTTTTCCCAGCAATGGTTAAACCAAATAATCACTTGATGGAAGGAATGTGGAGGCATGGATCTAGTCTAAATGACCTATGTGGCAAGCCAGTGGCAGCAACGACAAGAAGTAATGTCTAATGTACATAACTTCAGAAATGGGGAAAGATGCTGATATGCTACATAGTAAAAACAAAGGCATCAATATTAAAGTTCATATTTATATACTGTGAACATTTTAGAGCTTCCAAAAACTAACCCTCCCAGGTGAAAGAGTTCCTCCAGTCTCATCTAGCCATGGAGATTCCAGTTTCTAAGCAAATCAAGAGTCCTATTGCCTAACGAAGTACGGATAGAATTTACACAGTCTACAGTAGATGAAACACTGAATGCTCACTAAACAGAAAGTGGATGAAAATGGTGCTAGGCTTAAACATTTAACTTGAAAGCCCCTCACATGCCTTACACTAAGAACTAAGATTACAAGTTTCCTCCATTCCTGAAAAACAACTTCAGTGAAAGAAAGGAAACTTTTCTGGAGATGCCAGGAATCTGTGCATACTATTTTCAGCATCTACAGGAATCTTGGTAAGTTTTATTTGTAACCCATTTGTCTGCAGACTTGCCAATTTCACTAAGAGTGCAAATATCCATGCCCTAACAAGAAAGAAAGAGCATTAATTATAAGATAACAGAGAAAACTTGTTTCAAAATTTCTAAACTGAGACATTTCCAGAATGGGTTTATGGTATCTACCTTTAAAGTAACTGAACATAAATTACAACATAATCACATCTGAAGAACAATATGCATGAAAAACGACAGCTAACAGTGTTTGCACACATACCAAGGCCTATTTTTGTAATGGCAGGAAACAATTTTCCAGTCTGGAATGAAAACCAAAAGGAGGTGTTGTCCCTTCTTGGGCATTGCATGCCCCTGCTACAAACCCTTGCATATCAGTACTGGCTTAGCTGTTCAATCACAATGTAGCCAGTTGTCCTGTATATACAGATGGTCTTTTATTTCAATATCTCATTCCATGAAGCATATTCAGATGAATTACTCTCATATATAAGTGGGGTAATGATATATAGTAATAATTTGAATAAAAGAGAAAAAACTTTCTGGTACCATAAAGAAATTAAGTAATTGGAGATTGGAGGATCCTATAAAACAAGAACATTATGCTTCATACAGTTCACCTAGTATTATTACATACTTCAATGAAGGAGATTATGGTGATCCCAACATGTCGCTAACTCATGGAGCCGAGCTCTTCTTGAGAAGCTGCAATTGTGCAGCTACTCAAGAACTTCCCAGCATTTTATGGAACCCAAAGGTTCATTACCATGTTCACAAGAGCCCTCCACAGGTCTACATCCTGAGCCAAATCAATCCAAGCCATACCATCCCATTCTATCTCTCTAAGATCCATTTTAATATTGTCCACACAACTATGTCTTGGTCTTCCCAGTGGTCACTTTCCTTCTGCCTTACCCACCAACAACCTACACGCATTACTCTTCTTCCCCAATTGTGCTACATGCCCTGCCTATCTCATCCTCCTTCACTTGATCATCCTAATTATACTTGGAGAAGACTACAAGTTATGAAGCTCCTCAACATGCAGTTTTCTCAAATCTCCTGTCCCTTTATCTCTCTTCAGTCCAAATACACTCAGTCTATGTTCCTCCCTTGATTACTGAAACCAAGTTTCACACACATACAGAGCCACAGACAAAATTATTGTTTTGTATATTCTAATTTTTATGTTTTTAGACAGCAATTTTGCAATAGCAATCTCAACCTCAAAAGGGCTAGGATCAGGTACTAACTGCTCACCTGTATGCATTTCTATCTGCCTAACATCACTGACCCTATGTACATTCAATAACTCAGAGAAGTAGTTCTTCCATCTATTCAAAATGTTGTAGGAATCTGCAAACAGATCACCATTCTCATCCTTCATTTTAGTTACTTCTAGGTTGGTAATCCTTCTTGAAGTCGTTTATTCCTCTATACAGGTCTCTAATGTTCTTGTTCTTATTGTTCGTTGCAAGTTCATGAATTTTGTCTTTCAGATATTCCCTCTTTTTGTTCCTGAAATGCCTGCTGGTTTCATGTCTTCTACTGTTCAGATTATCCCCATTTATTTTGTTTTGA